AATTGAAAATAAAATCAACTTTGATTACAATTTCCTCCTCTGGAGGGCGTTATTAAGCCATAAAGACGTGAATTTCTTTATTTCTTTTTAACATCAAAAAAAACCTAAAGAAAAAGTGTTACAAATACAGAAAGTAGTAGAAAACAGCACTACAACAACAACAACATCAACAAAACTTAAAGTACTAAAGAAATGCCTTGGACGCCACTTGGTCACACAGCCAGTCAGCCAAAGCGTACTAAAATTCATAGAGGAATAAAAATTCTTTGTACGTGTATTAGTCTGTTTATGAGTGCTTTTTTGTGTCAACCCAATAAACATTTAGGTTTGAGAAACTACAGCGCAAAATGTCTCTACAAAGTTTTGATTAACCTTCGCATTATCTTTCCCATTTTAAATCATAGAGTTATTTCAGATTTATTTGGGAGTACAAATAGGTTAGTCCATAGACTAGTCAATAAGCTAGTTTATAACGTAGTCTAAAGTCTAGTCCATAAACTAGTGTATGAGCTAGTTCATACACGAATCAATAGGATAGTATATAGACTAGTCAATGGGTTAGTCCATATACTAGTCAATAGGCTAGTCCTCAGACTAATCAATACCCTAGTACATAGACTACACAAAAGGCTAGTCAATAGATTAGTCAATGGTCTAGTCCATAAACAAGTTCATAGAATAGTCAATAGGCTAGTCCATAGGCTACCCCATAGACTAGTCAATAGGCTAGTCCCTAGACTAGTTAATAGGCTAGTCCCTAGACTAGTCAATAGGCTAGTCCACAGACTAGTCAATGGGCTAGTCCATAGACTAGTCAATGGGCTAGTCCATAGACTAGTCAATGGGCTAGTCCATAGACTAGTCAATGGTCCAGCCCATAAACAAGTCCATAGACTAGTCAATAGGCTAGCCCATAGACTAGCCAATAGGCTAGTCCATAAACTAGTTAATTGTATAGTAGATAGACTAGTCTGTGAGCTAGTCCATATACATATTAGTCAATTGTCTAGTCCATAGAATAGTCAATAGGCTAGTTCATAGACTAGTCAATAGCGTAGTCCATAGACTAGTCTATAAACTAGTCAATTGTGTAGTACATAGACTAGTCAGTAGGCTAGTCCTTAGACTAGTCAGTAGTGTAGTACATAGACTAGTAAGTAGGATTGTTCATATGGGCTAGTCCATAGACTACATAGACTAGTCAATAGGCTTGTCCATAGACAAGTCAATAGTCTAATCCATAGACTATTCCAAATTAGTAAATAGGCTAGTCCATAGACTTGTCAATAGGCTAGTCCATAGACTAGTCAATAGGCTAGTCAATAGGCTAGTCCATAGACTAGTCAATGGGCTAGTCCATAGACTAATCAATAGGCTAGTCCATAGACTAGTCAATAGGCTAGTCAATAGGCTAGTCCATAGACTAGTCAATAGGCTAGTCCATAGACTAGTCAATAGGCTAGTCCATAGACTAGTCAATAGGCTAGTCCATAGACTAGTCAATAGGCTAGTCCATAGACTAGTCAATAGGCTAGTCCATAGACTAGTCAATAGGCTAGTCCATAGACTAGTCAATAGGCTAGTCCATAGACTAGACAATAGGCTAGTCCATAGACTAGACAATAGGCTAGTCCATAGACTAGACAATAGGCTAGTCCATAGACTAGTTAACACGCTAGTACATAGACTAGTCAATACGCTAGTACATAGACTAGTCAATAGGCTAGTCAATAGGCTAGTCCATAGACTAGTCAATAGGCTAGTCCATAGACTAGTCAATAGGCTAGTCCATAGACTAGTCAATAGGCTAGTCAATAGGCTAGTCCATAGACTAGTCAATAGGCTAGTCAATAGGCTAGTCAATAGGCTAGTCAATAGGCTAGTCAATAGGCTAGTCAATAGGCTAGTCCATAGACTAGTCAATAGGCTAGTCCATAAACTAGTCAATAGGCTAGTCCATAGACTAGTCAATAGGCTAGTCAATAGACTGTCAATGGCCTAGTCAATAGACTAATCAATAGTCTAGTCCATAGACTAGTCAATAGTCTAGTCCATAAACTAGTCAGTAGGCCAGTCCATAGACTAATCAACAGGCCAGTCCATAGACTAAGCAGTAGGCTAGTATCGTATGGAACTAAATTCGAATTTATAGATTTTGTTTATAACATTTTGTTCAATCTTACGACCTTCTGTTCCCTGGGTTTATTGCTTTATATAGAAAACAAAATTCTGTATATATGAGAACAGCCTTATACTATGAGATAACTACAACTAAGTACCCTAAAGCATAAAGTAGAACAAGTTTAGTGGATTTCATCTCTTGACTTTTTTTCTGTCGTTAGATAACATGTAATTACAATTAGAGCGACAAACCACAAGAGGCACAAGTTTTCTAGTTAGTTAATTATTCTACATAATTATGAAGCAACATATTTGGATGAAAGAATACAAAGAATACAAATAATGGAAATTATTTTGTAATTGATTTAATTGAAAAAAGAGAACAATATGTCACATAACTAGTCCAAAATATGACAGACAGTTGATATAGAAATTTGTAACGAACGTTTTTGACGAGAAACTAGAATTTTATTGGAACAAAAGCTCAAATTAGCCAAATTATCAAAATTTCTGGTTGTTCTCAAAAGTCACAGTGCAGAGTGCTCTATTTACATGGGAGACGTCATCGAAACTTCAGTATTCGTGCACAGCATAGGTAACTCTGATACTGTGAATAGTGATTGGTTCGGAATGATCACACAAGGACATGATCAATTTCAATGTTCCGGAATTTTATCCAATGTCTGGGTTTAATAATGTACAGTGATTGTCAATAATATTCGAAAAAATTCACTGGAAATGTGAAATTTTAATAGAAATTTAATTGTTCACCAGAAATTCGATATTTTTATAGAAATTCGATTTTAAACTAGAAATTTGAAATTTCACTAGAAATTTGAAATTTCACTAAAAATTTTAAATTTCACTAGAAATTTTGAAATTTCACTAGAAATTTGAAATTTCACTGGAAATTCGAAATTTCACTAGAAATTTGAAATTTCACTAGAAATTTGAAATTTCACTAGAAATTTTAAATTTCACTAGAAATTTGAAATTTCACTAGAAATTTGAAATTTCACTAGAAATTTGAAATTTCACAAGAAATTTGAAATTTCACAAGAAATTTGAAATTTCACTAGAAATTTGAAATTTCACTAGAAATTTGAAATTTCACTAGAAATTTGAAATTTCACTAGAAATTTGAAATTTCACTAGAAATTTGAAATTTCACTAGAAATTTGAAATTTCACTAGAAATTTGAAATTTCACTAGAAATTTGAAATTTCACCAGAAATTTGAAATTTCACTAGAAATTTGAAATTTCACTAGAAATTTGAAATTTCACTTAGAAATTTGAAATTTCACTTAGAAATTTTAAATTTCACTAGAAATTTTAAATTTCACTAGAAATTTTAAAATTTCACTAGAAATTTTAAAATTTCACTAGAAATTTTAAAATTTAATAAAAATTTAATATTCCACTAGATATTCAAAATTGTACTAGAAATTCAAAATTTCATTAGAAATTCAAAATTTCACTAGTAACTCAAAATTTATTAAAAATTCTAAATTTCGAATTTTCGCCGAAAATTCTTAATTTCACTAAAAATTCGAAATATCACCAAAAATTCGAATTTTTACTAGAAATTAAAAATTTCACTAAAAATTCGAAATTGGACTAGGATTTAAAAATGTGATTAAAATTTTGAAATTTCACTAGTAATTTTTACTAAAAATTCGAAATTTTATAATTTTATAATTTGAAATTTCATTAGATATTCAAAATTTTACTAAAAATTCTAAATTTTAATTAAAATTCTAAATTTCACTAAAAATTCGAATACGATTCCTCCACTAGAATGTCGACATTATACTAGAAATTTTAAATTTCTCTAAAAATACGAAATTAAAAAAAAAAAATTATTAAAAATTCGAAATTTTTGCTAGAAATTCCAAATTTTTATTTGTAGTTCGAAATTTCGACATTTTACTAGAAATTCTAAATTTCTCTAAAAATCCGAAATTTAAAAAAAAAAATATTAAAAATTCGAAATTTTTGCTAGAAATTCGAAATTTTTATTTGAAGTTCGAAATTCCATTAGAAATTTAAAATATCACTACAAATTCAAAATTACACTAAATATTCGAGTTCGGAATTCATTAGCAATTCGAATTTTCACGAGAAATTCGAAATTTTACTAAAAATCCAATATTCGATATTTCATTAGAATTTCGAAATTTTGTATTAGTATTCAAACTGCAAAATTTTGCAAATTATTTAAAGTGTTGACAATTAACACAATTATTATATAATTATTAACACAAATATTTATAAAAATTTTTGCACATATGTACATACATACGTATGTATTGCTAAAACTATGTTGGCTTTGTAAAATATTATTGTATAAATGAAAGAATGAAATTTTTGTAGTTACAAAAACAAACATATATGAATGGTTTGTGCTACATTTTCATGTTTTTTTTTTTTTTTTAATTTGTATAATTTTTTTTTGCGTACCATAATGATAACATTCCTTTAAACATTTTAACAACCGACATCATACTTTAATATTCCACAAACAAATATACAAAACTTGTAAAATATTTTTTTTTTTTTTTTTTTTGATATTCATTCATGTAATAAATTGCTACCGGCAGTAATGACACCACCAGCTAAACGACTTAGATTTTTTTATATATTTTTACAGCAAAAAAAAAAAGCATAAAAATAAACCTTTGACATGATTTCAGTAAATTCATATTTGGTTGTTTTATTTCTAGCTATTCTCCTCCTTTAACTCACTTTTGTTTTTTTTTTTTTTTTTTTTTCTAAAATCCAGTTGTTTGTAGTGTGAGAAAAGTAGGAAACACAAACACAAGTAGCAAGTGAAGATTATATGGATTAGGGGCACAACTTATTATTGTTATTAACTTACCATCTGGTTGCTGTTTTTTCTACGTTTCACTTCTTGATATTTTAGTTTTATTTTATTTTTTATCCTGCAGAGTATATCTTCTTGGTTTAATAGTCCACGTGTTATATATTTTTTATCCTTGAATGCTAAAATGGAACAAAAGGAAGCAAAGCGAGAGAGAGAGAAGGATGTTAGTTAAAATTGAAATTAGAAGTGCGAATATACAAGTATTTAAATATGCTAAATTTAACACAATGCTTGAGAGAGAACGTTAGTGTTTATAGTGTGTAAGTCAAGATATTAATTGACCCTTTTAAGAGCGGGTAGAGGTGGTGAGGGGAGTTTAAGAACTAAGTTATAAATTGACATCATTTTCTTAAGTTTTCTTTTTTAATAATATAAAACTAAGTTAAACGTTGTTAAAAAGGAAGTATAATTTTCCTTACGAAAGGAACAAATAATGAGAAACAGATGTTTCCTATTCATAGGAAATTGTGCTGTAACGAAAGACAGACGGACGCCTTCTTTGAAGACTCTTTAAGGGAAAAGATGTTGTTGATTTACTTTCGCTAAAAATTCGAAATTTTACAAAATTTTACTAAATATTCTAGGTTTCAATAGAAATTCGAAATTTCACTATACATGAGTCCGAAATTTAAAAAAATATTCAAAATTTCGCTAGAAATTCGAAAATCACTAAATAATTTAAATTTCCTTTAGAAAACTGTTATACAAAAAGAACTGTTATAGAAAAAACTGTTATACACACTTTTTTCTACAGAAAAAACTGTTATACACACTTTTTTCTACAGAAAAAACTTTGTTATACACACCTTTTTTATAGAAGAAATTGTTATACACACTTTTTTCTATAGAAAAAACAGTTATAAACACTTTTTTCTATAGAAAAAACAGTTATAAACACTTTTTTCTATAGAAAAAACTGTTATAAACACTTTTTTCTATAGAAAAAACTGTTATTTTTCTATAGAAAAAACAGTTATAAACACTTTTTTCTATAGAAAAAACTGTTATTTTTCTATAGAAAAAACTGTTATTTTTCTATAGAAAAAACTGTTATACACACTTTTTTCTATAGAAAAAACTGTTATACACACTTTTTTCTATAGAAAAAACTGTTATACACACTTTTTTCTATAGAAAAAACTGTTATGCACACTTTTTTCTATAGAAAAAACTGTTATGCACACTTTTTTCTATAGAAAAAACTGTTATACACACTTTTTTCTATAGAAAAAACTGTTATACACACTTTTTTCTATAGAAAAAACTGTTATACACACTTTTTTCTATAGAAAAAACTGTTATTCACATTTTTTTCTATAGAAAAAACTGTTATACACACTTTTTTCTATAGAAAAAACTGTTATACACACTTTTTTCTATAGAAAATACTGTTATACACACTTTTTTCTATAGAAAAAACTGTTATACATACGTCTTTGTATAGAATAACTGTTATACACAATTTTATGTATAGAAAAACTATTATGTTTCTATAGAAAAAACAGTTATACAAACTTTTTCTATAGAAAAAACAGTTATACAAACTTTTTTCAATAGAAAAAAAAAGTTCTACAACACTTTTTTTATAGAAAAAACTTTTTTTTCTATAGAAAAAACTGTTATACACACATTTTTCTAAAAAAAACCTTAATACAAAAATATAAAGAAAAAATTTCACCAGAAATTAGAAATTTCACCAAAAATTCGTAAATTTACTCAAAATTTCACTACAATTTTGAAATTTGGAAAAAAAAAACGAAATTTTTCCGAAAATTTCCTTACAAATTAGTAGATTCACTTGAAGTTCGAACTAGAACTTTACTAGAAAAACCATATATTTCATTTAAATTCGAAATTTCATTAAAAATTTAAAATTTCGTTAAAAGTTGGAAATTTAACTTAAAATTCGAAATTTTACAAAAAATTCTTAGTTTCACTAAAATTTCAATTCAAATTACAGATATTAATTCAACAAAATTTAAAAACAATAAAAACTGAATTTAAAATCTATTTAAAGATTTCTGTCATTTCCAAAAAAGAAATGGTGTAATTTGAAAACCGTCTTATTCCTTATTTTCTACCTTATTCTGTGCACTCAACAATAACATACATACATATATTTCCTTTTAAAATTGGAAAAAATACTAAAGGCCTTAAGTAATCTTTTTTTCTGTTCTACTTTTCCAAGCACTTTTTTGTTTATCTCTCGGTGCCCTTTTAAACTTTAAAAAAAAATTTCAGCTAAAATATGCTAAAAATAACTGAAAATTGAACGTTGCCTTTGGCCAAATCAGATTATGTATTTATGCGTATAAATATTATTACTTCTTCTTTTTTCTCCTAATTTCCTCTTTTTATAACATTTTCCAATCTAAACACACACATTTAGTTGTTAAAGTAAAGCCTTTAATATGGAATAACAAAATTTAAATATTGATATTTATAATGTGTTTTGGAGCTCTATTCTAGGGCATTTAATATGCTCTCCAGTTTTTTGTTCTGTTTATTTTATGTACAAAAGTTTATAAATATTTATAGAACTTAAACAATGCTAATTACCAATTATGTGCACTCTGCTATTTATCCACACATGGAGTATTGATAGGAAAAAATTGAAAACACAGAAACAAACCCACCCACATTAAACGATATGAATATGTATAAGTTTACATATGTTTGTATGTATGTGTAACTTACGCACACATCAATAAAATATTTGTTATAATAAAATGGAAAACATTCACTTTGTATTAATTAAATTACAGTTTACACAAGACCACCTTAAAATCGAATAGAAATTATATATACACGCATCTGACACTGACACTAACTCACGCACGCACTAGCACTCACACATTCTCTATATATGTATATATCACTTATACTGTTTAAATGAATCAGATAGTCTGGCATGTAGTCAGTCCGTCAGTTATTTAGCCAGCCTGTCTGTCGTCGTCCAATGTTTGTTAGTACAAGTATCTAAAAACATTAAAAGTAATTTTATTAAAATATACTTCAATTATTGTATCATATGGTACCATGTACGAGGGTCCCATAGAAAAATGGTTTGATGTTTAGCCCCTGCAAAAGTCACATAAAAACTGTTATACACACGTTCGTTCTTAAGAGAAAGCTGGCTTACGACAATTATTCTATAAAAAAATAACTGTAATACACATATTTTTCCATAGAAAACTTTTATATAAAAATGTTTCTATAAAAAACTGTTATACAAACGAATTTCTATATAAAAAACTATTATACATAATTTTTATAGCAAAAAGCTATCATACGGAAATTTCTCTATAGAAGATCTTATATAAAAATTGTTCAATGGTGAAAACTGTTATACAAAAAATTGTCTAAAAAAACTGTTACATAAATTTCTTTTATAGGAAAAAACTGTTATACTCTAATTTTTCTAAAGAAAAAAATCGTATATTCAAATTTTTCAAAAGATAAAACTGTTACACACAAATGTTTCTATAGAATAACTGTTATACACACATTTTTCTAAAAAGAAAACTGTCATACAAAAATGTTTCAATACAAAAACACAAATGTTTCTATAGAAAAACTGTTATACATAAATTTTTCTATAGAAAAACTGCTATACACAAATGTTTCTATAGAAAAACTGTTATACACAAATGTTTCTATAGAAAAATTTTTATGCACAAATTTTTCTATAAAAAAACCTGTTATACATAAATTTTTCTATAAAAAAAACTGTTATACACAAATTTTTCTATAAAAAACTGTTATACACAAATGTTTTTATAGAAAAACTGTTATACACAAAATTTTCTTCAGAAAAACTGTTCTACAGAAATATTTGTATAGAAAACTGTTATACACAATTTTTTCTATAGAAAAACTGATATACACAAAGTCTTCTTCAGAAAAACTGTTATACACAAATATTTCTATAGGAAAGCTGTTATACGCAAATTTGTTTAAAGAAAAAACTGACATACTCAAATGTTTCTAAATAAAAAACTATTTAGAACTATTACAAACAAATATTTCTATAGAAAAACTGTTATACACACATTTTTTATAAAAAAAACTGTTATACACAAATTTTTTTAAAGAAAAAATCTTTTATACACAAGTTTTTCTATAGAAAAACTGTTATACAGAGATGTTACTAATATACACAAATTTTTCTAAAGAAAAAACTGTTATACACATTTTTTTATAGAAAAAACCGTTACAAATAAAATTTTCTATAGATAAACTGTTATACAAATATTTTTTTGAGAAAAAACTACTATACATAGGTTTTTCTATAAAAACTGTTATACAAAAAATGTTGTGCAGAAAAAATTTTTATACAAAAATGTCCCTATAAATTTTTTTCTAAAATATGTCCCCTAAAATTATTTTTAGATAATTTAGCTGTAACTAGCCCTCGTTTCTCCAAATAGAGCTCATATTTATAATCAAATCGACATAAACTCTCATCTACTGCATATACAAACAAATAAAGATAAAACGAGACATAAACAATTGGTCGATATCTGTGAGTGTGTATGGAACAACTCATATAAAATCCTATTAAAATGGGTTTTTAATGTAAATAAATATGAAATTACTAACCAGCAGAAGGCATAAAACAAACACAAAATTTTCGATCGAAATGATAAAAAAAAAATTTATTGATTTTTTCCATACGCTCCTATGCTCATCCCTCTCTCTCTCTCTCACTTTGCTTTAAATATTTATATTAATGTAATGAAACTTTTTCATTCCACCTATGAAGCATAAAAAAGGCTTTTGTGCAAGTATAGATTTTTACAAAACAAAAAAAGTAAAATGTGTATTAAGCAAAAAAAAAAAAGTATAAACAATAAACTTAATACAAGGAAGATAAAACTGAAATCAAAACAAAAAAAGAACTTCCTACACATTCGTACAAACAATTCAAATCAAAGCATCCATAAGGAAGAAGAACATGACAAGAGATGAAACAAAAAACATTGTTAGAATCAAAACAAAACATGACAATAACAAGAAAAAAAGGAATGAAATATGTATGTGTGAGAGTCTGTAAGAGGAAGAAAAATATGCCATGAATAACAACAAAAACAAACATCTGTAAAACTTTATTATTATA